GCAGTGATAGTTAGTAGTTTGACTTCTCAAAGTGTGAACACTATTAACACTATTATTGGAGCATCATGGCCAGCTCGACAGCAACATGGAATCAACCAACAGCATGAGATCTTTCTCCCCAAACAAGGGCAGACGGGGAATGCTCTTTTTACAGGTTTGGCACACACAAATTACACAACTTGAACGAGACCGAAATCAGTGTTTTGGTAATTGCGGTACACTGTAAAAAAATTTCACCCCTTTCAACTTAAAAACCTAAGCTGACTTAAAAAATCAAGTTGAATCTAGTATAACTTATAAAAAAAAAGTTGGAATTGCTTAAATTATTTTTATGTGTTAAAGTAACTTAAAAACACAAGCTGTCATGGCTTTTTCATCATATCATTTTTTACAGTGTACCGTTTGCTGCTGCTGTTTCTTTCATATGTCTTTTTACGGACTCAACATATGTCTTCTTCCGTCTCTCCCACTCCTCTTCACAAAACACCACAGGTTTGCTGGTGGTCTTTGTGTTGACTTCACCTGCTCAGTGGGCAAAGGGACAGTTTAACAATGACACAGAAAAGTGGGAGCACAGATGGCTGATGAGTGACCAAATGCACAAGCTGAAACTGTATCATTAGGGCTAGATGAAGAAAACATGGAGAGAATAGTGGAATCCAGTCAAAAAAAAGGTAATTTACAGTATAACAAAATGCTATACTGTACCATTTAATTTGCTAAAAACAAATTGTCTTTTGTCAAACACGTTAATATCTTATCACAACTATTTTTCATGTTGGTTTTTGCAATGTACTGAGCTGTATATCTACATCAGTACGATGATATCTCTATGAATTTTGAAGCCTAAATACATTCATCAGAAGTAAAAAAACTAAAGGAAGGCTAAACAAACTAAAATGTTAACTCGTTTCCAGGTTTTGGCCAACAAAAATACACCACCTGCAGCACAGGAAAGTCGTGGCCTAATGGTTAGAGAGTTGGACTCGTAACCCAAAGGTTGTGAGTTCGAGCCTCGTACCAGCAGGGATTGTAGGTATGTACAGCACTCTCTCCCACCTTCAATACCATGACTGAAGTTCCCTTGAGCAAGGCACTGAACCCCCAGCTGCTCCCCGGGCACCACAGCATAAATGGCTGCCCACTGCTGTTCACTGCTGTGTGTGTGCACTTTGGATGGGTTAAATGCAGAGCACTAATTCCAAGTATGGGTCACCATGCTTGGCCACGTCATGTCACTCTCTACCAGTTTAAATTTGGTCCGTTTCTCAGATGAGGAAATCATATGGCTTCATAAGAATGTAGAATATTTTTATTTAGATATGGCCAATTTGAATGGTCATTGAAAACAAGCTTCAAATGTTCTGTCCATTATGGACAAAATACCGAAAAACAGGTTTAAAACAAGATCAGGAAGGGTAAATAATAACAGAAACTAGTAAAACTGCAAATATCAAAGTTTAGAGACGCACGCAATGATATTTCAACTGCAGGAACCTCTCTGTCCCATTTAAGAACCGGTATCTGGGAGGGAAGGCTCTCCCGGTCTTGATCTATCCAGTTCTGTTTGCAACTGGACAGAGGGGTGGACACGACAGGGGTCACAGGCTGATTGACCTTTGACCGAGGCGGTGTGATGTCTTTTGATATTATTAATGGCTGTGTAGGTGTCAATCCCTGGACTCTGGTTAGGAAGTACATGGAAAATGTTCCCTGAGCCGGGGAAAATGTTCTTGTGAGGCATTGTCATTTCAGGGGGGTCTCGCAGGTCTCATCAAAACATGGATCATCCAGCCTCCGGTTTCTTTATTGGAAATGTGTACCTGTATGTTGTAAACCGGGCTGTTGGCATTGTACTGCTGTTTGGAGCACACCATGTGTGAATATACTGATAGTGGTTTTAAATGAAAAGATGAATCATCGTAGGACATTGTTATTCAAACTGGAGTCAGTCAGGATTGAAAGAGGAAAAAGGAGTGTCTGCTCAGTTTTATCCAAGCAGGAGATGTAAAATGTGGTCTTGGCCAAAGTGCATGGCCTTCAGAAAGAATAATGTTTATCAGTAAATCAGACACGCCTATTTTGATTACATGGGGTCATTAATTCGAATTCACCGCCCAAAAAAACTATTTAATGCATATTAAATATTTCCTTTTTATGCAAACAAAGAAATGCATCAGGTCAAACCGATGATCATGTTATTGACGCTAGCCTAAAACTAATTGGTTCAAGTAAATACTTGCACGAGTAACTCGCAAACAATTGATCTTCGTTTTAAACAATATAAAAGTGGGTTTTCATGAAATGTATGACACGAGCGTGCAATGAGTTTGTAAAAGCCTTCGAATACACCATTTACATCATCTAAACTGATAATTATGAAAATTAAAGAATTGAGTGCGGATTACAACTTTGAAAATTTACCTGTCGGATACAATAAAATGTTCCGTTTCGCGGTGCTACTTAATCTGCCACAAACTTCAGTTATTTACATCCATCCTCGATTTTCAGATTGGGATTACACTTGATATTCATAATTTGCCAACCACAACTTCGTCTTCTGATTGGCTGGAAAACAGAACATGTGGTTTTTAAAAATACAACTTGAATTTTATTCACATTGTTTAAAATAATTTAAGAAATACGCAAGTGAAGATAACTGACCTTATAATTTAAAAATATAGGTAATATAGGTATTTATGAATCCTACTGGTGAAAACGTGTACCTCATGAATATTAATTACGTAATGCCAGGATCTGTCAGTGATTGGCTCAAAGGCAGACGTTCGTAAATTGGTGTGTGTGACGGAAATGTTACGCCCCTTACCATACTGTGATGACGTGTCCCGGCCGGAGCTACGAGACAAAAACATTAAAACCTATTATAAACAGAGGCATTTGTTGCATCCAGTGGGGACATAATTATAATGAATTATAATGGCTTATACTGTCTTTTTACGCGTTGCGTTGCATCGTGCCTTCTTTATGCACCAAGAGCTTGTAACACTCCAAAGAGAAAGGAAAAATTGAAATCGCATCATATGACCCCTTTAACAAGAATGTGTTTTGTGTGGCTAAATGCGGGCTATCCCATGTGCAGAGACAACAACGACTACAATTTTAAAGAATATAAAATTAGTTTACGTGACTCCAAAAAGATACAAACTATACCCTCTCCAGCAACATAAAACGACCCAGTCAGCAAATTTAATTTGGCGTGGATCTGGCCCATATCAACAGCTAAAGTGTGGCCCAGATTAGTTTGTGTTCACCAGCCTAAAACTGGTCCAGATCTTTTTAGCCAGAACTGAACCTAAACAGTCCCATAACCCAACCCAGAGTGAGCCAAATAATAAAAACAGATGTGGCTGATATATGGACCTTATATGGTATTCTTATATGGCTGAGTTCTGTAAAGGGCTGATGGCCCTTATGTGGCCCACATGTGGCTGATAAAC